GGCTTCCTCGCATCGCAACGAGGGCGCCTTCTCCACCTGAAGACCCACCAGAGGTAAGCGATAGGTTATATGGATTTAACGTTCGACCGAAGACGTTGTTATATGTCTCGCCCCACTATTTCACTTGTGTAAGCCTAGCGATCATACAAGCAGTCAATTTGCTAACCATGAGAGTTTGTGGAACATTTGTTCGGACGAAAGGTACAGCGCCGGCCTCATAAAGTATCTCAACCAAGACGCTATCCTGTGTAGCAAAGTCTCCAATATTCGCAACATAACCTGGCCGGAAGTTTTAAGTATGCTCCTGACTTGTATTAAAATAGCACGCGTACCGTTGATGGTCTCTAATCCTTTCATCATGAACTGATCCTTCAGGCTGATGGGAAGTCCGTGTAATGGCCCTTTTGGCTTCTTATTGTCCGCCAAATATTTGTCCATTTCGGCAGCACGTTCTAGAGCACGGTCAACAAAAATCTCCGTCAAACAATTGGTCTACGTAGCAATCAAATAAAATAAAAATAAGTTAATGTGTAAACATTGCGGTAATGCCAGACTTGAACTCACGGTTTGTTGGGCAATGATAGCTCGTTTGTAGAACGCCGTCGTCACTTGGACGCTCGACCAAGACCCAGACCGCAACTTTGAAAGAATCTCCTCCACATCCAAGGTGTCGGTGATTTCTAGTTCCAGCGGCGTAAGAAGTCCACACTCGTAAGGAACTCGAGTAACATTTTGTTGATCGTCGGACACGGTGATCCTCCACTCTGCTGGAATTAAGTCGAACTGTTGTTCCTTCCGGACACGAGCACGAATCTTCCAGTCTTCCTGTGGTGGGTCTCCAGTCGAGTCGTTGCTTGCTGGCGTAGCCATAGGTTAATGTGGGTGAGTAAGATCGTCATGGGTGAGAGGCGCTGACTAATGCTGACCAACCTAAGCAGCCACTTTGATTCCAACTACCTAGGCCTGCTAAACGAGAAATTAAGCGGCACAAGGAGCTGAGAAATGTGTGAAGAAATAACGCTGATTCTTTCTGAGAATCGTCTCCACAAGCTGCCCTCGTCACGTCTCAAGTTAATATCATATAAATGTCATTGGTCGGGAGTACACCACAAATTTCTCATTCTCGTGCGTAGCAAGCCCAGCTCTTAGATTAAGAGAGTCTCAATCTTACGCTTGATGGTCTCAATTTGAGACTGGAGCTCGCGAGCTTCGTTAGTCGTAACGGAGCAAGCGATCACGGGGCGAGTCACATCGCAAGCACGGCCGAGGGCGGTCTTGGAGGGAACGAAGACGTAGGGAACGTTCTAGAGATGACAACAATCAGACGAAAGTAACTTGGAGGTAGTACAATAATAATAGCTACCTTGTCCTCACACAGAAGCGGGAGATGCAGCAAAATCTCAATGGGCTCGGTGTCGGCCGTCAAAACGATGAACTCGGCGATGCCACGGTTGAGCGTCTTGGTAGCTGAGGACTGAGTTCAGCTCGGTGACGAGACTATAAGCAGGAGTAGAGACGTACCTTCGTTAGCACCCTTCTTCAACTGCTTGTACTGTCCAGCCTGCTGCACCAAATCCAGAATCTACGGAACACCTCGTGAGCACGAAGGTCTCCAAAAATACAGGACAAACATACCTGGTTAGTGAGGTTGGCATCAGCAAGAGGGAAAGCTTTGGGGTTGGGGGCGGCCATGTTGTTAGATAGGTGATTCGACCTCACTACTGGGGGATCCTTGGTCGCGGGTGGTGGAGGAAGCAGAATTGCCAAACAATTTTCGGGGCTTATGTGATACAGGATGCCCTTCGGCGCTTACTGATATCCTCTTCCTCCCAACCACACTTGTCATCACGCAATTACAGCTGGAACCGCCGCTTTGCTATCGCCTTGAATAATCTTACTTATGAAAAAAATCTGCCGTAAAATATGGGTGCTAATGATACATCAAATAGGCCTATAAATATGGAAATCCTCCGCGTCCGACCATTACACGACAAATTGAAACCTCCACTCTTGTTCCTCCTTCAATCTCCTCTCAGTCTCCATGTCCTCCTCGACCCACTTGGCAATAACCTCCTCTGACGGCCCGGGCTCTTCTATTGCCCACGCTTCCGACTTTGGGGATTCGGGCACGTTCAAGGACCACTGTAGACCAAAACTTTTTTCATCTAGCCCAGACGAATCGAAAAAACTAGTTCGCTCTGTCTCTGGCACTGGGACTGGCCACCGAGAACTTGACATAGCTGGATGCCGCGATAGATACGAAGGGCACGGTCGAACAAGCTGCAAAGCAAGCGCGCCAATTCCTATGGACGACAAACTCGGCTCTGTGGCTGGTGCGGGCATAGGCTCCCGTCGCCTTGGCGAAGCCCATGCTCGTCTGCTGGCAGCTCTGCGCTCTGGTTTTCTAGAATTTGGATGCCTCCCGGCCGCCCGCGATTTGGATGCCCTTTGTTCGTCTTGCCGCTCCTCGTCTGCCAGCCTCTGGAAAAGCAGCATGCGCTGAACTGGATCGGCGCGAGAGACTTCATCTAGGGTGGGTATCCAGCATCTCCTCGTTTCAAGAATGGTTCGACGTGCGGGCCGGCGAAGAGTGTCTGACTGAGTCAAGCTACCAGACGCTCCAGGCGAGCTCCATTCGGTGACTCGCGAGGGTTGTGGTGACGGTGACCGGTATGGTGACTCAGAACGAATAGATGATGGTGGGGTGGGATACGGTAAGCCATTTGCTGTTCGTTGTTTCATTATAAGTTCTCGCGTGAGTTGAGGCATTTTGTATTTAGTCTAAAGATCTGTTAAATCGTCAATCTTGCGGAATGAATATTTGTATGACTCACAAATGAAATGCCAATCAAATTAATTCGTAAATTGATTATAATCAGGGTGCGCTCGTCTTCTCAGAAATCCTAAATAATTAAATACGGTGGGTATGGAGCTAGTCCTGGCACAGATCCAGCCCTATTTGTACATTGGTTCGCTGAGCCTGCTGGACCGTAACAAAGACCTGGAATCCAAGCCGCATGATCGGCGTCCTTTGTTATGGATGATCATGAGCGCTTATGGCATCCGACTTGGACCACAAAGAAATGACTGGTTACGTATCGTCAAGCTGGAAAAATACAGGGGCCGTAGCTACGGCGCGAGATAAGGATACAGAAATACAGTTTAAAGGGAATGACACGCGGGTGGTGAGTAATCTAACCCATTGATTCACAGCCGTTTCAGGCTCTTGGAGCGACGCGCAGCACCATCGTACGAGCTTCGTGGCGTGTTAGCGAGCTCTGCAAGTCGCTTGGACGCAGACCTCGTTACACGCGTAGGAGTGGTGGCTTCCTCGACCTGACGAGCTACCATCGCCCTCGTCACCCTCGTCGGCGTCGGACTCGGCGCAGGCGACCTAATGAAATGCTAGAATATTCTCAAATTAGCCGAGGTCAGGCATAGAGATATATGCACTCACCTCGTTGACACAATTGCGCAACTTCTTCTTTGGACGTTCTTCGAGCTTCGAGCTCTCCGCAGGTCCGCTCCCACAAGGTTCGATCTCGAACTCTTCCAGCGCCCTTCCACTCTTACTTCCCGTCATCCGCATCGTTGAATTTGCAGGTGGAAGACCGTTCGATAGACGTCCGGACCCCTGAGACAGGACACTCGCCCGGCGTGCTCCAAATACCGCCTGTTCAATCGAGCCTTTTCCAAGCGGGATAGACGGCAGCGAACCCATCGTAGGCGTATTCTCGTCCACGGCGGAAGGCGCCGCCCTCGAGTGTCGCTGTGCATTCATCGAAGGAAACCCGATCCCGGCAAGTCCCCACGCACTCCCAACCAGTTTGGACATAAAGCTTGTCCGGCGGCGTCCACCAGCCAAGCGACTTCCTTCAAAGACGGCCGTGGTGGACGTGTTGCTCATGACTCGACGATCGACGGCCAAAGGGGGAAACCATCGTTCCGAGCTGGTACGAGAAGGCGGAGTTGGTGTAATCTCCCCAAGATTAGGGGCATGCGAGTCCAAGTCCATATCGACAATATCCATCATGTCCACCCCCGCCGTTTGGCGCGCCACGTTTACTGTTGAGACGCGCTGCGTGGCTTGTAAGGCCGGAGCAAATCCTGAGCCGATGGTCGTAGCATGGGACGCCGCCGATTGCATTGAGCGCACCGACTGGACGGGAGTCAGCCCTAGCTGGAAGAGGCTACCGCGAGGCATAGGAGCAAGAGGGGACGAAGACGGGGGTGCAGCATCATCGTCAACGAGACCTTGAATAGAGCTCTGCGAGCCAGAGGTGCCGAGCCTTTCCGAACGAATGGTCAGGAGGTTACTCGAGCGAGACAGCGTCATCGGAAGCGGCGAGATAGGAGACATGGGCACCGCAGGGGAGGCTAAGCGAAGTGGACGAGGCGCAGGTGGTGGAACGAGTCTAGGATAACAGTCAGCTTCGCACGATTCACTTGTCTGTTGCGTCGAACTCACCTCTCTCCCAGGTCCGCCACGTTTCCCTGAATTGGCATGTTAGAGTGGCCTGCACCATTGGTACAATCACCAAGTAGTAGTTCTTCTGTAGACGTCGCAACTCCAGGAGCAGGCTTCTTGCGAGTCACCTTGAGCCGTTTGAACGCCCTGCGCAAAGGTGTAGCAAACCTGTGGCGATTGCCATCGCTGGGCTGGCTGCTTGGTTTCGGTCCTGGCTGGGAGTGGGTATTCATTGTGTATGTTCAGATAGAGTAAGGAAAGTGGTTGTCTGGGTCGTATATAGCGGAGTAAAAGCAAGTCTCAGGTTAATCGTCGTAGTCGTGGTAAGAGTCAGCCAGGCATTTGAGACTCCTGAAAGATAGGGGAGAATATGAGGACACGTGACCTCAAAACAGACTTGAGCAGTTAATTAATCCCGGGGATAAAATGATAACCGAACAGGATACTGTAATACAATGCACCGGAATTAAACAGGGTTCATAACAAAAACAGATAAGTAAATTGCAAATCTCCTGGTTGTAGGCCAAAACGTTGCCATGAGTCTGGCTTGAACAAACGACCTGCAGATCTTCAGTCTGACGCTCTCCCAACTGAGCTACCACGGCTTGGATTCCCGATTTGAAATATTGTATCTAACTCCTAGTATCTTGCGTATACAAAATTAAACTTGCAAAGAGGTCCAGTATATCGGAACGCAAAAAGTCGAGGTGCATCGATAAATACCAAGACGCACAGATGTGTGTCTAACGACCGATAATAACTTTTTCAGAAACTGCATCGCCTTGGTGCTCATTTTAAACCCCTGCGGCCAGTGCTCGCCCTCCCTGCTCACTACATTCCTGCTTTTTACAGTTTCTAATCTGCGCAGATTTAGACATAATTTTAGTAAGCATGATCCGCGTACCGAGGCTCGTTGACGTTCTTTCTATTAGTAAATGTGAAGTACTCGATTAGCGGCATAAAGGTAAGTGGTTGAAACTAAAAAGAATTCCGTTAGATTGAGAAAACACGTTTACTCGGGCAGTTGGTTATGAGGCCAACCAATGTGAATTGCTCACCCGGCGACTCGACGATTGCATATTGACTGCCAAACTACAAAATGAACACGGCCACCCCACAGATATTGTTTAAAGTCATTTCATACCACGGTCAGTGGTTCTTTTACTAGAAGATTTGAAACTCAATTGCATAGGGAAAACGACATGTCCGATAAATAGCGTATCATATATAGTCATGGGAATAATTGTGGGATCAATAATCATACTACTCTATCCTCGCAAGCACTCCCCCGACCACAAACCCTATCGCCCAGACAGTAATCCTCCTCCAAACTATCGCCGGCACCTCCCCTCCCAACCCCGCCCCAATAAGCACTACCGCAGGCCCAGGACATATCCCACACATCCCCCACCCAACACCGAACAACACAGCTCCCACCACCAGCCTCGTCGTAATCCCATCCGCCCAGCCTGGGCCAGGCATAGGCACCGACCACGAGCTCGCAAACACAGGATGAGTATCTGAGCTTCGGACGTACTCTCTCAAGGTGACGTGCCAGAATATAAGCTGGGGGAGAACACCGCCGACGAGAACGAGTAGGAGACTTGGGTCCCACGTGCCGTTTCGGATCGAGGTGGGCGTGAGGTTCATGAAGCCAAGGATCTTCGAGGGGCGGAGCATCCCGCTGAGAGCGAGACCCAGGGCAAAATGGAATGCTGAGAATGATCTGGTATTAGCTAAAAAATAATATTACGGCATGTATGCGCTTACATGTGCTAAAAGCGACTAGTCGACGAGCGTTCCGTTGGCCAGCAAGACCGCTCACGAATGCAGAACCATAGTGGTATACTAATATGGGTATCTGTAGGAGTAAAATAATTCTCCAAGAGGGATGGTCCAAGTGGCGTTCAGGAGTCAAGTCGAATGCGAAAGGCTCAAGGTTGCCGAGCAACAGATGAGTGGCAATCCCAACAGAGACGAAGATTCCGCTAGCGACCAAGGAGCGCGGAGCAAGTCGGGAGACGCCACACAACATATGTCCAGAGGTGCACCCGTTCGACAGCTATGGGAAAGAAGTTCAGCAAAGAATCGCAATGCGCACCATTGGACTCACTTTGCTCCCAAACCCAACTAGGAGCCCGGCCAGCGCAAGGCCCGCAATCTGAGTCCAAGTAATCTGGTTCGAGGCGTACACGTCGAGCAGCTGAGCATGCACCTCGTCTTCCAGTCGACTGTGATTGAGACCAAGTACCAAACCCCCTGCAACGAGTCCGACTAATGAAAGCAGAGCGAGATGTTCAGGGTCTGGGTCATCCTCGGGGGACAGGAACTTCTCAGACGGGGTGTGAGTGAGGCCGAGGTGTTTTCGAAAGGTATAGCCGAGCCACAGCGTTGTCCGATGCGCGAAACCCGAAATTCCGAGGACGCCGCCGTTGAGAACTAGGAGGTGTGATGCGGACACACTACCGCGGTTGTCAACAGCCAAACAGGAAGGAACCCGAAGCGCAAGACTTACCCCATCATGGCCGCACCGATCAGTGTGTGTATCGGAGTGAATGGCATGTCGATAGGGGAGGTTAGGGGGGAGACCGTCCCATCCAGGCGCTTTATATCAGTCCAGGTCCTACCTCCGCGCGTGATCGATCCATGATATTCATGATTCGACCGCAACACAACACAGGCTGACAACTCACCGCATGCGGCCCGATACAGAGTCTCAGGAACGAGCCGCAATGTGGAGGCATTTGCCCCCATAATAGACCGCACGCGAGCTGGTTAGCATGTCCCAGACAGTTCGAGAACATGTAAGGCGCCGGTGTGTTCGGTAGCACGTCTAGTGGGTACGCCAGGGCGAGACCGTTGGGGTCGCACGTGACCTCATCAAGGTCAGGAAGTTATTGAAAGTTGACGGGAGAGGTGGAGCGGCCACTTTTGTAAACGAGGTGAGCATCTTTGTGGAGTGCACGTGACTGCGCGAAAACAAACACCCAGGGGTTTTCTCAGAGTCTAGACTACGCAGCCGCGGCGACTTTTGAAGTCTCCGCAGGTGCCGCCGGCGCCGAAGTCACAATCCCCTCTGGAGCAAATTATTTTCACAGATCTCACAGATCATCCAACTTTAAACCTGCCCACGGGTTAGATGTTGCAACTTTACATTTGCGCATGACTCACTTTCTAGGGGGTCATAATCCAGGTATTTTTTGCTCCTCGCAGTTCTGTAACTAGCTCAGATGAGTCCAGCGTGGGTGGTAGGCCAGAACGAACTGTATAGGTCAAGGGGTGCTCGACTTATCGAATCACCAGAAACGTGGCAGGTCCCCTATCACTCAAGCCATGTGGACGACTCCTCGGAGCGCAAGTGGTGGCGTCTAGGGCGAGGCACGAGTACACATAGGAAGGCTGTCGTGGTCGAGAACGAAGGCCGAGGCTTAGGATAAGTTGAGTGCACGTGATCAGTTTTTTTTGAGTAGTAAGATTTAATTCCACCCGAGCACAAGTCAGACAGGAATCCGCACATCGCGGCGTACATGCAGCACACAGGAATCGAAGGGCAAGGACACGGTATAGGGTACACGCATAGAAAAGGGCGGAGAGAGTGGTCCAGAACGCAGTAAGACGCCCATCCAAGGGTCAGTCGGTAAACAGAAACGCGGGGCAGAGAGCACAGGAGAAACAGGGAGAAAAATAAACTAAAATAAGTATTACTATGAATAGAGGGGGCCGAGAAGGGAGACGGCTATTTGCGAAAGGCAGAAGAGGAGGCGAGGAAAGAGGCCATGGCAGCGAGTCCCTTCTCAGTCCCAAATAGGACCTTGAGATTGAGCGATCGGGATATCTTGCGTAGAATCATTCGTGGTTCGGAGTGCAGGTCGCAATCGAGGAGGACGTGTCTGAAAGATTGTGATTGGGCTTTGCCGCAGGGGCAGTGGGTGTCTTCGTCGATCTTGAATCGTTCGTAATATTCCCCGTAGAATCCGTGACCTAAGATGACTTGGTTGAGGCGCGACGTGACTTCTCGGGAGAAAGTCGGTTCGAAATGCTGGGCCTTGACGATGTGTTTTCCTACGACTGATTCGCTTTTCACCTGGGTGTATTCTGGGCGTTTGAAACGTCTCGATGGTGGGTTTGGGAGAGTAGTGAGAACATGTCCGGAACGTTTGGCATTGGCGCAGTGATTGTCCCAGGCCTTTTGCGCCTCCAGTGTGGTTCTAGCTTTGCAGTATGAGAGTGATCGGTCGAATAGGGGCTTGGGGACTAGCATCGTCGCCTCGTGCGCCAGTGTGTCTGCCCTTTCGTTTCCTGGGAGTCCTGTGTAGCCCGGGAACCATTGAATCGTGACAGTGAGGAGTGGATGGGCTTCGAGAAGTTCGTCTATTGCTTTTCTGAACAAGAAAGAGGCGTGTTGTGCGGGGTGTGGGCGCTTGTCGACGATGGCTTTGCATGCCGCTTCGTTGTCGCAGTAGAATTGGGTATGATTGGGGGGGTTGACAATCGCGATATCTCGAACAGCAATAGCCGCCATGGCGAGACCCAGCATCTCCGCGTCGAAAACCTCACATCTGGGGCCTAGACCATGACGACCGATTTTAATGTCGACACCATCTCGCTGGACAGTAAATGCGGCTCCAACCCTGCGCGCGTCATGCGAAGCCCGTAGCGAACCATCAGAGTAGCACAGAAGGGCGCCGCTCTTCTCAAGCGTGGCGTTCCTGTCTACCGCATCACTGATGGCTACTTTATAGCACGATGAGCTACGTTTGCCTTTCCTCAGGCCAGGGTCGATTACCACGTTGAGTCTCTCACCCCAGGGATGTGGGTGAGCACGTGATCAGTTTCCATTGTTCCCCTTCTTCTCACCTCCATCAGCTTGCTAGTCTCTCGCGCACCTCCGTGTCCGGGTCTTGATTTTCTCCAGTCTTCTCATCAAATGCTGTTCTGCTGTAAGATCCTTGCGCATACTGATCAACTTGTCATCATCGTACCTCCCTCTTGACTTCAAACTATGTTCATGGCCATATGAAACTGCCACGTCCGATCCTTCCTGTGATGCTCCATGGATGCAAACTGCCGGGAACCTTGCGACTAGAAGGTCTAACTAATGGGTCTTGTTGAACTAGGTCCCCATGATGCCTAACCTAGAGCTCACTACGACGGTTGACTGTTTGTTTTTCCACCCAACAACTTCTTGTCTTAGTCTACAGAAATGGAGCTATGACGAGCGACTAAAGAGCTCTACGTACATGGTCTTATGACCTCCACTATCTGCTACTATGTTTACTACAATGTCTTATCGCCAGGTCACTCCAGAGTTCGCCACTGCGAACAAAGTCTGCACCAAATAGCACTAAGGGCCACTTTCTCTTCCACATAGGCTAGCTATCGATAAGTCTTTCGTAACCCACCAATATGAATCATTCACTTCGCAACTCCAATCGCCATGAGGCCCCCTGCATCGTCATACGTGCTCTCCTTATACACCTCGAGACGAGAGCTTCAATATACACCTCCGACTTTGTAGCGCCGAATCGATGTCTTCGGCTTTCGGTCTC